TTTTTTAAGTTTTTAAAACCAAACATTACAACTATGAACCAATTTAATCTTCATAACAACCTAATGAAGTAGGTACCACTATTATCCTCGTTTTACAGGTGGAGATACTGAGGCACAGAGAAGTTAAGTAACTTGCACTTCACCACCAGCCTGTACTGGCCTGAGGCCTTTTCTGTTTCTTTCGTTCCTGCCTAACTTCTCTTGACATCCTGCCAGGGCCGGATGGAGGACAGGGCCAAACAAGCTAGGGAGGGCTGCCCAGAGCCTCAGTCTTTAGAAGCACTCAAGCACACCTGACATGTTAGGAGACGGAGCAGATTATACTAGGGCAGGGTGGGTGCCGGATGAGCTTGGAGGAATTACTTGGATAGTCTCGGGTGGAGAGTGAGACCCCTGTGGGGCAGCCTGAGGGACAGTGAGGACGCTGAAGACCGCTTACTCCTGCTGAGGAGAGGCCCTTGAAAGTGTGCCTCAGCCTCCCTAATAGCCGGGATTACAGGCACCCACCACCACACACTCAGAAGTGCCTCTGCACTGCATTCACAGGGCACAGTTCTGCTCTGGAAGGCAATGACTCTCCTTCTTCACCCTTCCCCTACGCAGGCCACGCTGGGGATTTCTACACTCGAACAGATAAAGACCCGAGACCATTGGCCTAAGTACCTGAACGTTATAAATCAAAAGTATTGTAAATGAAGCTGACATTTTTACATTTAAGTTTTAGAAATTTAATTAATCAATGAAATCATGTCCAAAAGATTTGTAAAACTAAAAATTATTCATGAGGCTAGCATGCAACCTCTAGATGCCTGTGTAGAGAACCAGATTCAATTGGCTGGGTGTGGTGGCTCATGCCTGTAATCCCAGCACTTTGGGAGGTCAGAGCAGGCAGATCATTTGAGGTCAGGGGTTCGAGACAAGCCTGGCCAACATGATGAAACCCCGTCTCTACTAAAAGTACAAAAATCAGCCGTACGTGGTGGCGGACGCCTGTAATCCCGGTTATTCGGGAGGCAGAGGCAGGAGAATTGCTTGAACCTGAGACACGGAGGTTGCAGTGAGCCAAGATGATGCCACTACACTCCAACCTCGGTGACAGAGCCAGACTCCGCTCAAAAAAAAAAAAAAAAGAACTAGATACAGGCTGTATGTGGGCACCATCTGCACGCACCAGACACATACATTTAGGAGTAATAATGATGCAATATTGCCAAACGTTTCTCAGCAACCATGTGCAAATGTTGTAAGTACTGCTTGTTTCTAACTCAGGAGGATCTCGCTAACCACACGTTGCAAGAAAATAGACTTTCAGTGTTTGTGGCAAAACGAGTTTTTCATTGGCGTTCATGCTGAAAGGAAAGAGTTAAAATGTTAATGTGTCTTTTTTCTTATCTGTAAGTTCAAGTTCACTCAAATCCTCTCTTGAAGCAGTGTCGGTCTCCCGTGTCTACGGTGGCATCATCTGTGACTTATCAGGACACTTGGAGCGGAGGGCAAGGCCAGGCACTGTGGTTCATGCCTGTAATCCCAGCATTTTGGGAGGCCAAGGAGGGAGGATCTTGAGGTCAGGAGTTTGAGATCAGTCTGGCCAACATAGTGAAACCCCGTCTCTACTAAAAATACAAAAAATGGCCGGGTGTGGTGGTGTGCACCTGTAATCCCAGCTACCCAGGAGGCTGAGGCAGGAGAATCATGTGAACCCAGGGCGTGGAGGCTGCAGTGACTGAGAGGGTGCCACGGCACTCCAGCCCAGGCAACAGTGCGAGACTCCATCTCATAAAAAAAGAGTGGAGTGCCAGATATAGAGATTGTTTCTTGGGCCTGCACAGTGTTGGTTGTGAAAGAGAATGATTAGTGATGTGGGTCCCACTGTGCCAGTACCAGGCACCAGATCCCAAAGGACAGAGGTACTGATCTGTTATTTAATAAACTGTTGCGTCTGTGTGGATGTGTGTGTGTGTGTGTGGTGTGGGTGGATGGGTGGGTGTGATATGTGGGGCCCTTTAAACCCCTGGGCCCTAATAGTCTATCGTGTGGTGCTGTCCCCACAGAATGCTCAGCTTCTCCTCAAAATACATGGTATCTGGACTGGGTGCAGTGGCTTATGCCTGTAATCCCAGCACTTTGGAAGGCCGAGGCGAGTGGATCACCTGAGGTCAGGAATTCGAGACCAGCCTGACCAACATGGCGAAACCCCGTCTCTACCAAAAATACAAAAAAAATTAGCCTGATGTGGTGGTGACGCCTGTAATCCCAGCTAATCCCAGCTACTCGAGAGGCTGGGATAGGAGAACTGCTGGAACCCAGGAAGCAGAGGCTGCAGCGAACTGAGATCATGCCACTGCACTCCGGTCTGGGTGACAGAGTGAGACCCTGACTTCAATCAATCAATCAATCAATTGATAAATGGTATCTGGAGTCTGTCCCCGTCATCTAACTCCTGGACCACTGCATCAGCTCCCACTGGTCTCCCAGGTTTCGTCTCCTGCCTTTTCCCTCCCCATTCTTCCCATGCAGACAGAGCGATCTTTCTGAAGAAGCAATCTGATTGTGCCTTCCAACCCTTTTTGAAATCTTTCAATTTCTCTCCATCATCTCCGGAGTCTAGCAAACTCCTCCGCCTGGCTTCCATGCCCTGCAGGCTCCGTCTCCTGCCAACCTCTTCAACATGAAGCCTGGTCACTCTGGTCCCATCACGTGCTCCAGCAGCACAGGCCTTTCAGCTCCTTGTTACATCCACTCTGTCACCTGCTCTCTTCCCTACTGATGACCCCAATCACTGTTTCAAGCCTCAAATGAGGGCAATGCAAATTCAAAAATAAACCGAGAGCCGGGCGCGGTGGCTCAAGCCTGTAATCCCAGCACTTTGGGAGGCCGAGGCGGGTGGATCACGAGGTCAAGAGATCGAGACCGTCCTGGTCAACATGGTGAAACCCCGTCTCTACTAAAAATACAAAAAATTAGCTGGGCATGGTGGTGCGTGCCTGTAATCCCAGCTACTCAGGAGGCTGAGGCAGGAGAATTGCCTGAACCCAGGAGGCGGAGGTTGCGGTGAGCCGAGATCGCACCATTGCACTCCAGCCTGGGTAATATGAGTGAAACTCCGTCTCAAAAAAAAAAAATAAATAAATAAAATAAAAAATAAAAAAAATAAAAATAAAAAAAAAAATAAACCGAGCTGGCAAAAACACATAAAAGCGAGAAAAAAAAAGGACATTTCTGTTGTGACAAGGTTGTGGATAAGGAGACTCACTTGTGTGTTGCCAAATTGGCATTCGAAATCCCTAGTGCTTCTGGATTTGTCATGTTTGGGAGGAGGGTTTTTAAAACATCAGCTTTCTTGAGGTTGGATAAATAAAAGAAAATGCACACATTTTAGGTTTACAGTTCAATTAGTTTTTACAACTATACCTGTGTGTATAACGGCCACCACAATGACAACCCGGATATTGTCATCCACTCCAGCGTTCTCTCATGCCCTTTTGCAGTCAAATTGCCTTCTTTTGCCCTTGGCAACTACTGATCTGATTTCCAAAATCATAGATTCATTTGGGCTATTCTAGAGCTTCATATAAATGGACCCGTACTGTGTATAAGCTCCTTTATATCTGGCTTCTTTTGTTCAGCATAATGTTTTTGAGGTTCATCCATGGGGTTATACGTGTCAGTAGTTCAACTATTTTTATTGCTAAGTCATATTCCTTAGTAAGAAAATGCCACATTTTTATTTTCCATTTTTCTGCTGATGGGCATTTGGATTATTTCTAGTTTTGGCTATTTTGAACAATGCTCTTATGAACGTTAATATATAAGACTTTGCACATGGGAGGTGCTTTTCTTTCCCTTGGACGGTATGGTAATTTTAGAAGGGAAGTTGCTCACTCTCTGACACTTATCATCAGAGGAAATATCACAATATGAAATGCTATTAGATGGGCTGGGAGTGGTGGCTCAAGCCTATAATTTAGCACTTTGGGAGGCTGAGGTGGGAGGCTCGCTTGAGGCCAGAAGTTCAAGACCAGTCTGGACAATATGGTGAGACTCTGTCTCTACAATTTTTTTTTTTTAATTAGCTTGGTGTTGTGGTGCATGCCTGTAGTCCTAGCTACTTCAGAGGCTGAGGTGGGAGTGGAACCCAGAAGGCAGAGGTTGCAGTGAGCCAAGATCCTGCCACTGTATTCCAGCCTGGGTAACAGAGTGAGACCCCATCTCAAAAACAAAAACATAAAATGATAGAGTAAGTGAATGAAAAGTTATGCATCCCTTACCCTTTTAATTAATTATGTATTTTATTTTGGCTCCATCACACAGGCTGGAGTGTACTGGCAAAATCACTGCTCACTGCATGAAGCCCTGGGCACATACAATCCTTCAGCCTCAGACTCCAGAGTAGCTAGGATTGCAGGCACACAGCACCAGACCTGGCTAATTTTTAAATATTTTTGTGTAAAGATAGGGTCTCACGGTGTTGCCCAAGCTAGTCTTGAACTCTGGTCCTCAGGTGATTCTCCCACCTTGGCCCCATTAAACTTTTAACTACAAACTACATGGAAACATGAAAAAGTATTCAGAATGAAATGAATAGGAATGCAAAATTGTAACCATGCCATAAGAAATGGTTACATACTTTCTGAAAGCATTTATTCGTACAAATAAAGGCTTGACGGGTGGGGTAGAAAGGCAAATGGGGTAGAAGAGCAATGACAAGCACTTCCAGGGCACTGGGTACACACTGTGGAACGAGTGATTCTGGCACTGCTCCAGGATCGGAGGTGTATTGGTGAAAGAGAAGCAAGATGCCTGCTCGGATGGGGGGAAACAGGGAGATCATTTCCTGTTTTAGATGTTGGGAGATGCTTCACATAATAAACTGACTGGAAACAGACGTTTGACTTGGATGCCCCTTTTTGGAAATGTGCCTGCATCCAGGGCTGGGTTGGGGCCCCACTGAACTTTGGCTCTGACACAGCTGTTGCCACACTCTGTGTAACTGAATCCATGTTTGCCTTCACCCAGCACCCCTCCCCCCAACTCTCCCCACCACAACACACCCCATGCCAGCCTGGTGACTCTGGAAGGTGGTTTCATCATTTGGCTTGCGGCTGGGTCCCACTGAAGTCTTGGCACTCAGTGGGATGGGAATTGAATAAAGGCTTAAGATTGCTGAGCGGGAGGCCTCTCTCTTGAAATCTACAGACTGACATGTTTACTAACGGGGCTGCAGCCCTGCACCCACCTTGGCCTTGGGCCACCAGACTCTAGAGCTTTTGTAACCTCTCCATGTCAGGAACTCAAATTAGACCTGGGGTTGCAGGCTGTACCCTCAGCTGGCCTTTGGGAAAAGGTTTTGTGCAAGGCATTTCCCAAGTGCTGACAGGATTGTGTCACAGACACAAAGCAAACTTTTGTTGGGCTCCAGGTGACCACCCACAGGTTATTATAAAGGTGACTGCACCCTCTGGCCACCAGCACTGCCTGGCTCCACATGCCCCCTGGTCTCAACATGGCACTGCCCTGGGTTCTTATAGTCCTGAGCCTCCTACCTCTGCTAGAAGCCCAGATCCCAGTGTGTGCCAACCTAAGACCGGTGCCCATCACCAACGCTACCCTAGACCGGGTGAGTGCCTGCGCTAGCCCTGCCCTGTGCACGTGGGCAGCTGCCTCCCTTTCCCTGCTGGCTGTGGTCAGCCGCCTGCTCCTGGCTCTGCCCTTTTCTTTGCTGGGTCCTTGGGGTAAAATTCTTACCAGCCCAGGGAACTCTGGAGGTGCCCCCTGCCTCCAAACTCAGAAACCTCACTGCAGAGTCCTTTGCAGAGGACAATTCTTTGCTGGGCCTGGAGTGGCTGCCCAGGGGGAGTGACTGATCCTCAGGGTGAGCTCCTGCATGCCTGCTCCCCACCAGGGGCCTCATCTCCCCATTTGCAAAATCAGGGAGATATCTGCCTGAGTCTCTTCCTGGCTGACAGTTAAAGACTCAGCATCAAGCCCCCATCACCACTCCCACCTTCTCCCTAGATCTCCGGCAAGTGGTTTTATATCGCATCGGCTTTTAAAAACGAGGAGTTCAAGAAGATGGCTCAGGATATTCAAGCAACTTTCTTTTACTTCACCCCCAACAAGACAGAGGACACGATCTTTCTCAGACAGTACCAGACCAAGTGAGATCCCCCATTCCAGCCCACCCCATCTCAGCTTCTGACCTGAGCAAGCCGCTCCTTCTTCTGGCCTTGGCCTTTCCATGGGTAGACCCGGGAGGGCTAGCTTTAATCTCCACCAGACTCTTGCCCCTGGGCTGCGATGGGCGATTGTCCACTTCTCCTTGTTAATTGTACTGTTTTCCTTCTGTTTTCTGTTTGGCTTTAGCCGGAACGAGTGCATCTATAACTCTAGCTACCTGAATGTCCAGCGGGAGAATGGGACCATCTCCAAATTTGGTGAGGGCCAGCCCTCAGGCAGGAGGGTTCACCGTGGGAACAGGGCAGGCCAGCATAAATTGGGGGGTGGGGTGGGTCTAGGGTCCTGGAGACTTTGGGCACAGAGAAATAATCACTAACATCTTTGAGCTCTTACGATGTGCTCAGAAACAGCTTTAAGAGGACATTGGGAGAATCACATGAGGAAACAGAACAGAGACCTCAAATAGCTTCCCTGAGGTCACACAGCTTATAATCAGAACTGGAATTGAAACTCCAGGCTGGCTTCAGACCTGCCTCTCTCTCCCTCTTTAAGATGCTTTGGAAACCCAGGGTGGAAGCCTGTATGTTGGATAGGTGGTGCCTTCAACTCTGTCCTCCCATCACCACAGGGGTGGCACATAGCAGGGAGCTGATGGAGCTAAACTGACACTGTTTAGCCGCCTAAGCCTCCTCCCTGGGCCTCATTTTCCTCATCTGTAAATGGGGAGAAAGGCCCTGACTGCCACAGTCTGTGTGAGGCTCCTGTGATCCTATGTACAGAAAGTGCTTGGCGTGGAGCCTGGCACGCAGTGGGGTTGGGCACACAGTGGCCCAGGGGAGCCCCAGGCCTTCACGGATGGGCTGTGTGGGCCTGGACACACCTAGGCCTCCTCACCTGTAAGGTGGGCACCATTGTGCGAGCCCATGTTCTCACCCAGAGGCTCTTTTTTCTCTTCCAGTGGCAGGACAAGAATATGTCGCTTACCTGCTGATCCTCAGGGACACTAGGACCTTCATGCTCGCTTTTGACGTGGACGATGAGAAGAAGTCGGGACTGTCTGTCTATGGTAGGCATGCTTGGCAGCCCCAAGTTCATGCCCCACCTAGGCCTCGCCCACCATTCACCCACCCCTGGGGCTGGGCCCCCAGAACCCCAGCCCTCCCTGCCTCTCACCCGGGCCCCACTGCGTCCCCACTCAGTCTCCTTACTCTTCCTGCAGCTGACAAGCCAGAGACGACCAAGGAGCAACTAGGAGAGTTCTACGAAGCTCTCGACTGCTTGCACATTCCCAGGTCAGAAGTCCTGTACACCGATTCAACGAAGGTAAATGCAAGGGATTGGGCAGTGCCCACCTTGTCCAGTGCCCACCTTGGGCAGCCTCAGAGCCCCGGAGTGGGAGAGCTGCCAACCATGGCTGCACAACCGGACAGATCTGCTTTTAGGCACCTGCCTCACTGTAGGAACAGCTGAGCTCTACAGACGCCAGGGGTGGTGGATGACAGCCCAGGAGGGAGAAGTCCCCGGGAAACCAGGGCGGATCTCAAAGCTAACAGGAGGAAATAGTGTGAGCCAAGGTGGCAGGGGTGGGGGGGATTGGCAACTGGAGGAGACACAATATGGGGAGTTACCACCTACAGATGCCTCCCAAACCCCGGGCTTTCACCCCATCTCCACTCCCTGCTCAATTCTTTTTTTTTTTTTTTTTTTTTTGAGATGGAGTCTCACTCAGTTGCCAGGCTGGAGTGCAGTGGCAGGATCTCAGCTCTGCTCCCGGGTTCAAGCGATTCTCCTGCCTCAGCCTCCCACGTAGCTGGGGTTACAGGCATGCGCCACCATGCCCAGCTAATTTTTATATTTTTAGTAAAGACAGGGTTTCACCATGTTGGCCAGGCTGGTCTCGAACTCCCGACCTCAGGTGATCCACTCACCTCGGCCTCCCAGAGTGCTGGGATTACAGGCATAAGCCGTCATGCCCAGCCCCCTGCTTATTTTTAGTACCTGTGCAGTGGGGAATTGATACTGCGGTTTTCAGTGTCACCCGCACTGCAGCACGGCCAGAATCACCATCCCGATTTTTGCTACAAATGCGAATTACTGTGTAATGAGCTCCTTAACACTTTTCTTTAAATCTGTGTTTGAAGTCTTGCCTTGGTGTGGCCCCATGCCCTAATATCTGTGAAATCACAGTGCCGATGAGCTGGTTCCAGGTTTTAAAACATACACATGCAGTACTTCCATGACTAGTCAAAGAAAAACAAATTCCACCCACTTGCCACCTGAGAGCACCACCAGTGGTGTGACCTGCCCCCCCACCCCCAGCTCCAGGATCCTGGGACAGGGCTTAGAAACACAACCACTGTAGTCAGCTCACCCGATCCACAGCCTGGCACCCGTGCTGTCTGGCTTGGGAGCCTCGAATGGGCTCCATGGCCACCCTGAGCCTCAGTTACATCATCTGCATAGTAGTGGCGGTGGTGAGGAATTCAGGAGATGCAGCGTAAGGGTCCTGCGGGTCCTAAGTGCTCAGTCAATGCCCGTGGTTCTTAAGGGTCTGAGCCCCCATTTTAGAGGCAAATAAGCTGAGGCTCAGAGACAGAAAATGACTTGCCCAAGATCACCCAGCTGGGAAGTGACAGTGCCAGGGTTGGAACGCTGGTTGAGCTGGTTCCACAGGCCAGAGCTCATTCTGCGTGCCCCTCCCAGAAGACCTCCCACCCTTTCTCCGTCCCTCTGCTTCCCCCTCACCCCACCTCCCCACTGCCTTCTAGGATTTGTGTGAGCCGCTGGAGAAGCAGCATGAGAAGGAGAGGAAACAGGAGGAGAAGGAGTCCTAGCAGGACACAGTCTTGGATCAGGACAGAGACTTGGGGGCCATCCTCCCCCTCCAACCCAGCACGTGTACCTCAGTTCTTTCCCTCACTTGCATCAATAAAGCTTCTGTGTTTGGAACAGCTCGGTTGTTAGTCATTTGTTCATTCATTCATTCTGAAGCCTGCCCTGAATTGGACCCTGGCTGGGCACTGGATAAGACGCTGTCCCTGGTGGAAAGAGCCTCACATGTGCCAGGACAGATGATGACAGGCACTGAGTGCTGTGGGAGGCCAGCACTGTAGGAAGATAATTTCTTCTGCAGGGTGGAAATCTAGAAAGACTTCCTGGAAGGGGCATCTGAACCAATCTAGAAAGATAAGGAGCATAATACAACCTGCTGTTCCTGTGTACAATGTGTGAAGATCAAATCAGGGTCATGAACATTTTCACCTCAGTTGCCATTTCTTAGTGTTGGGAACATTCAATATCACACAGTACCTATAGATATGTACATTATGTGTCCATTTAAAGTAATACAAGCAAAGAAATATAGCTTTTTTTTTTTTTTGAGACAGAGTCTTGCTCTGCGGCCTAGGCTGGTATGCAGTGACGCAATCCCACTTCACTGCAACCTCTGCTGCAAGCAATTCTCCTGCCTCAGCCTCCTGAATAGCTGGGACTACAGGCGCGTGCCACTACGCCCCACTAATTTTTGTATTTTTAGTAGAGATGGGGTTTCACCATATTGGCCAGGCTGGTCTAACTCCTGACCTCGTGATCCGCCCGCCTCAGCCTCCCAAAGTGCTGGGATTCCAGGCGTGAGCTGCGCGCTCGGCCCACACATGTGAATTTCTAAACTGAGACTACTGTAAGGCCTTTCTCCTAACAGCAAGATTGTAATAAAACTTTAGTCATGAAAAAACAAAAAAACTTTCTGTTCCTCCTGCAAGCAAGGAAATGAGAGGATGCATTTGAAAAACCTTGGGGCAGAAGACCCTAAACAGGAGTGGAGGTGTGATATGGTTTGCCTGTGTCCCCACCCAAATCTCATGTGGAATTGTCACCCCCATGTGTTGGAGGTGGGTCCTGGTGGAGCTGATTGGGTCATGGGGGTGGTTTCTAATGGTTTGGCACCATCCCCCCCCCAGTGCTGTTTCTCATGAGATCTGGTTGTTTGGAAGTGCGGAGCACCTCCCTCTTCGCTGGCTCTCTCCTGCTGCCTTGTGAAGAAGGGACTTGCTTCCTCTTTGCCTTCCACCATGATTGTAAGTTTCCCAAGTCCTACCAGTGGTACTTCCTGTTAAGCCTGAAGAACTGTGAGTCAATTAAACCTCTTTTATTTTTTTTTCATAAACTACCCAGTCTCAGGTAGTTCTTTATAGCAATGTGAGAACAGACTAATCCAAGGTGGATGGGGTGGGGAGAGTTCATGGCATATGGTGCCAATCATAAGGACTTTATTTCACTATTACCATGACCATTGGGGGGCACATTGGGGGACCAGGCTGGAGGCAGGAAGGCCTAAGTGAAGGCTGCTGTGGACATCCAGTCCAGAGGCGGTTGCCTGGCCAGGCAGGGCAGGGAAGGGTTAGAGTGATGGAGAGGACTTGGGGCCCAGGCCAGACGGGCTGGGTGTCTCCATGGAGGTGTCCTCCATGGAGGATGCCCACCTGGGAGGCCCAGAGGAGGCAACACTTAAGGGTGAGGCCAGTCCCTGGAAATCAGCTGACATCTTGCAAATGTAGAGCCCCGAGGTGGAGCCAAGCCCAAGACACGACCCACTCAGTGACACATGCCACGAAGGGCTGGCCTCACCCAGACCTCGGGGCTCACGATGGACAGCCTCTTGTTACGTGAGGGAAGCAGCACCCTTCCAGTGGCAGAAAAGTTGGGCTGAGTTGTTAGAGCAATTCTGCGTGTGCAGCTGCCTATGCCACCCAGGGTGACAGGACCATTAGCCCAAAGCCCTGACACTCAGGGGTCCAGTCCTGTGTCCTCAGGTACCACTCCCCTTTGTATCTCCTGTCCCAACAGCCAAGCTCCACAGGCCCAAGACCCCAGCACCCTTTGCTCAGCACCCAAACCACTGCTGTGTCCACAACACGGAGGCTAGGGATGCCGTGCTGATGTCCTTAGAAGGCAAGTGGACAAAGCAGCCTCTGGGGCCCCAGAATGGCCTGAAACTGAAGGTTCAGAACGTACAAGAACATGGGGGTGGTTTCTAATGCTTTAGCATCATCCCCTGAGTGCTGTTTCTCATGAGATCTGGTTGCTTAAAAGTGTGTAGCCCTTCCCCCTTCGTGCTCTCTCTCTCTCTCTCTCTCTCTCTCTCTCAATCTCTCTCTCTCCTGCTGCATTGTGAAGAAGGGACTTGATTCCACCATGATTGTAAGTTTCCTGAGGTCTCCCAGCCATGCTTCCTGTGAAGCCTGTGGAACTGTGAGTCAATTAAACTTCTTTTTAAAAAATAAACTACCCAGTCTTTTCCATTTCAGTATTACCTTCAGTGAGACACCATTTTCAACCCTACTGAGGAGGATCTGCTGAAAAAGGAAACAGAAATGAGTCGTGGTGGGCAGGACAGGGAGAAGCGAGGGAGGCGAGAAGTGAAGGTGGAAGGAAAACCCACAGAAAGCAGCAGTAGGAGGTGAAGAGAAAAAAAATCATGGGGGTATAGGAAGCAAAAAACATACATTACAAAGAATGTGGACTTTGGACTCAGACCAATGTGAGTTCAAACCCAGGCTCTCTCCCGAACCAGTCTGGGCAGATGGCCCAGTGGAACCTCTCTCCTCATCAGTAAAAGGGGGGGCATGGTAGGGTCTTGAGGGCTAGCATGTGGGCTGTGTGAAGCAGGACAGGCCCAGCGCTTAGCACAGGGATCAGGGGCTAGGAGGTGCTCCCTAAATGGCAGCTGCTGTTCGCTGTTGAAGGAGCACTGGGGAGAGTCAAGGTCCACACTCTCATAGATGCCAACCCAACGTGAGCCACATCAACATCTTCGGCCTCAGTCAAAAGGGACTTGGCTAGGCAGCCCTACCTCAAAGCCCCCTGCAGCTGAAAGATTTATGATTCTTAGATACGCAGATGGGAAAAACTGGAGAAACGGAAGCCACCAGAGGGAGGCAGGCAGGCACCCAACAGGTCTCCTGGGAAAGAGTTGGGCTGGGCATCAAATCTTCCACCCCATAAACTTGACTTTAGAAGGCAAAAGGTTTTTTTGTTGTTGTTTTTTGTTTTTTAGATGGAGTCTCACTCTGTCACCCAGGCTGGGGTACAGTGGCCCGATCTCAGCTCACTGCAACCTCGGCCTGCGGGTTCAAATGATTCTCCTGCTTCAGCCTCCCGAGTAGCTGGGACCATAGGCACATGACAAAATGCCCGGCTCATTTTTCTACTTTTAGTAGACACAGGGTTTCACCACGTTGGTCAGGCTGGTCTCGAACTCCTAACCTCGTGATCTTGCCACCCCAGCCTCCCAAAGTGCTGGGATTACAGGCGTGAGCCACCATGCCCAGCCTAGAAGGCAAAGTTAATGACACACACCACAGACACACATGGCTCTGGGTATTTTTTTTGTCTTCTTTCTTTTTTTTAAGATCAATATTCATTCTTCATTTGCCCTTGTAACGAAAATAGATTTTTAAATGCCTCAAATATACAAACATCATTGATGCACACACATTCCAGAAATGCAGAGGTATGTGCTGCCATGGGGTGGGGGTGCGGGAGGCAGCCTAGCCTTATGGCCACAGACCGTGCCCCAGCCCAGGCTTGGCAGGTAGCTGGCCACTGATAAATGCCACTGGGATCCTAGGAGAAGCTGGGGACCTTGCGTGAGGTACTGAGAGGGACTACAGTGGACGGCGTCCTGGGTGCTTTGTAGCTTGCCTCCATCCCAGCAGGCCTGCGGGGAAGGCCTCTGCTGCCATGGAGAAGCTGGAGGCATGTCAGCCTGGGGCTCTGACATCGTAAAATGCCCCACTGACTGCCAGTCACTAGGAGAAAGGTCTCCAGCTGTGCCCTTCCAGAGGTGCTTGCCCCAGAGTGACTGGTCACATGGGGGACAGGTGTGCTCCAGAAACCGTACGCCTTTCCTTTCTTGTCTGGCCTCCTAAGGAGGACCCAAGATCAGGAAAACTCCCCAGTTTAAAAAAATATCTGTCCATCTGTATATAAAATGCCTATTATTAGCTGCAGGTGGACACGTGCAGGACTAGGAGAGACTGTCAGAGGCTCTGCCCGGACGTAGGCGGGCCTCGCTCACAGCACCTCTGTGAGGGGCAGGTGCTCCTGGAAAGTCACATCTCTTGGTGATTGAGCTGGCACCCCCTCCACTCGGAAAGCACAGGGACTGAGCAGGCGGGGTCTGTGCTGGAGGGATACTCTCCTGGTGAGAAACTATGCGGGCCTTCCGGGCCTCAGCAGCTCCAGCCCGCGCCTGGCCTGGCAGCCACCTGCCCACCCACCCACTCATCTGTCTCTGGGCCCCCAGTGAAGTCAGAAGAGGCAGGAGCCCCGCAGGCTGTGAGCCTGGCGCAGGTCGGCGGACAGCGAGCGGCTCATCTGCCTGGTGGTGGAGCGGACGCTCTCGGCAGCCTGCACGGCCCGGCTCAGGGCCTTGTTGAGCTCCTCCAGGTCGCCCAGGTCGAGCTGGATGGAGTGCCGGTGCCCCTGGGCTGGCGGGGGAGAGGCTGTGGGGGGCCACTCGGCGGCTGGTCGGGCTGAGGTAGGTCCTGCGGGCGCATAGTACCTGCAGGGAGAAGTGAGTGGGCTCATTACACGTGGGGAGGCTAGGGACGAGCCAAGGAGCACCGCGTGTGGGGTCAACCCCCTTCTACATCCCAGCTGGGCCGCTGGGCCCTACTCTCTGGGTCTCTCAATTTCTCTACCTCTAAAATGGGAATAATGGGCACACATTAAGGGATTTCTTGGAAAGATGAAGGAAGATAACAACACGTGTGCCTGACCCAGAACAGGTGTTCCAGGACAGGAAGTTCAATCCACCTGTTCATCTCACAGTGATTGACTGCCCATCTAGTGTGCCAGGCTCTGGGGTTACAGTGGGACGAGAAAACATGGACTCCTGCAACCTTCTTGGAGCCGGATCTTGGGAAGCCCAGGGTCACCCCAGGCTTGA